AGTTCTCCTGCATTTGATTATCTGCTTTTACCGCAACAAAACCAAAAAATAAATTTAAAAAAAATTGCGCTCAGATTTTACATTATGCCCAAAGTGGCTTTGTTTCATTTACATACACATTCACATTTCGAGAGCATTTAGGCTTATTGTTCCTTTGAGCTAAAATTATTTAAAAACAGCCTATCCTTAGAATTTCCAATAGACAGTCTTGCGCACAGCAGATAAAAATGTTTTTTTCCATAAAGTGTTGCCATTGCTCACTTTGAAATCACTGAGTTTGTTAATCAAAAATTTGTTACAATTTTATAAAATTTGAAATATGCAATAAAATCTTTAAAAACAGCATATTAGAACTTCTGATAGGCAGTCTTGTACGCTGGAGATAAAAATACTTTTTCCCATACAGTGTTGCCATAGCTTGCTTTGAAATCATAGAGTTTATTAATTAAAAAATTTTTTAAGTTTTACAACATGTGAAATACACAATTAAACACATTCAATATTTGAGCTTCCAGGTATTCATAGTCAGGTGGAAGACTACGTTATTCAAAATTTGATGGCTCTAGGTGACATTGTTTTTTCACAGAGTGGAAAGCATCCATACATTCATGCAAACTCTTTGTTATTTAATTTCTTTAAATATAATACAGGACAATAATACACTCTTTTGTCCCCCCCCCAAAAAAAATCGAAGCACCAAGAAGGATTTTTACAATCAAAAGAGTTATGGAATTTCATTGATTTAATACAAATATAACTAGAAACATATAAAGAGATACTTAGGAAAATGCGAAAGTTTGTTTATGAACTGTTCATAATGCTTCTAAAAATTATTTCGGAGATGGTGTACCTCGAATCTTAATACTCGGAGGGCATCCCTCATTGGAATAGAATAACACAACGTAAAGTTTAAAACTAAGCAAAAGTACAATCTTAGTTTTTGCATAGATGTTTTTAAGGGGGGGGGGAGTTGTCCAATGAAAAAAAAACTGTGTCTGATCATCTTCAAAATCAATAAATTTATTGAAAATCTATGTCAAATTAAATTTGTGTTGTTGCCCAATTTTAAATGATAAACTAAAATCAAAATTAACCACTTTCCCCTACTAGGCAATACTATTCAATCCCTACTAGGCAATTTTTATTTTAAACGAGCTAGACTTTGGCAATTTGATAACAATATCTAAATAACATTAACTGAGATCACATTAGTGGCATTTACTGTAATTTAATATTACTAATTCAATACAAGCCTGACTATCCAGCATTCAATTAACAGAATATTTTAACATTTTAGAAAAACATTTTCTCCTAAAAAATTTAGTAAATGAGATATTTGAAATGCTGTTATAGACCTCATTTTAGGTATATGTTATCACCAAATAGTGTGATTTAGCACCAATAATGGGTAAGCAGAACATCACAAAGCAGTCTAAGAAAATCAATTTGGTTTAACGTAAACTTGATAAGTTGATTTATTCTTTAAGTTTAACTTAAACTTGATTAATTCTTGATTAGTTTAATTTTTGTGATGAAGAATATAAGTTACATTTTTTCTCACATTTAAAAAATGACTTTGGGAAAGCAAAAAAATGTGTTTGGGAAAACATCCTTTGGGGTATTTTCAAAGTTACAGGATTCAAGTATCAGAAAAAGGTCACGATATGCAGCTTTCAAAATGGATAAACAATGGCTATGAACAGAGAAAAATTATGATTTTCCAGTACACGATTTAAAATGTTTTATACGCCATATCTATAATTTGTAACTTTTTATTACATAAGTAAATAAAGAAGAATATGTTTGTTTAAATTTCTGCTAATATGATTGGTGACATTCCTGCCAACTTTCATGATGGGCGGGATTTCAAAATTAGATCAGATGCTTTACTTTCATGTTTAAGGCTTATGAAATATGTACGATTTTATGTCCAAAATGCAATTTCTTTTTTCAAAATTCTTATAAAATTTTAAATGTAGGCTTTTGATATTCAAGTTGGCAACAAATAAGAAATTGTTTTCATTTTTTTACCAAGTGTTATACTGATAATTACGAAATAACCCATGTCAAGTTCTGATTCATTTGAAAGTGACTATGTTATGAGAAGTGATAATAAAGAGAATAGTAATGACCTTGAAAGTGATAGTGAAAGTGACATCATCATTCGTTCTAAGAGATTACGAGTTATTAGTGATAGCAGTGATGATGATGAAGTAACTGCAAGTACCTCCGATGACGATATTATTGATGAGTTTTACCCGCAGATACAATTTTTTCAAACGAATCAAATACTTTTTCTGAAGTACCTGGACCAAAGCATGCCCCTCCTCCTGATGCGAAACCAATCGAACATTTCAATAATTTTTTTTTCAAGTATACTAACCAACGGCAGCGTCTTCGCATTCTCGATACAAAACAAGAGAAGCGCTATCGCGCTGCCCCGTATTTTTGGCATACGACAAGTGAAGCGCGCAGCCGGACTCAAACGGTTAAAAATTGAGCAGAATTTTCCCCCATTCATTTGGCTTTTCTAATGTGAACCCCATTATTTATACACTCAACTATATGAAATTTTCATGTATCCAGAAATTGACATTTCTTGAGCTTTCATTGCACATCTTCACAGGTTTAAAATTAACCCCTCCCTCTAAAAAAATAAAAAGCAGTGTGAGATTGACACAGATTTTGAATTAAATTCCTTTGATTTTGAGAGTAATCGTTTCTGTAGATTGCTCTTCTGAAGCAGCAAAAAAGTTTTGGAAATTTTGCTAGCCCATTTAATCTTTAAACATTATTCTCAATAAGCAAAAAATTGAGAGAAAATAATTGAAAAGATATGCAAGTGACTTGAAGAAGTTGATGAAACTTAAGTTATTTAATGCAAATTTGCTCAAAACAGAATTCTTCAATAATATTAGCACACATCAATTCATAAATTTACATCTTAATAACCCTAACTTTTGATATTAAATAATTTGTTTTTAAATGTACACCCCATAAATTACTTATATGAAGCAAAGAAAACTAACAGAAAAACGAATAACTTTCAGCATTGCAAAATATTAAAAGAAAAAGTAAGGATAAACATTCAACAAACACAATTGATTATTTGTGAATATTAATTCATATGCTTTATTAGATAGAACACAAGCACATTCAATAAGATTTTTAAATTAGATTAAATAAATACCCCCTTTAGCCACTGAAGCAAACTAAGCAGGCATGGTCCGTGGGAGAGTAACACGCTCCTCTATCACGACACAGTATGCATGAAACTGGTCAAATTCTTGAAAGATGAATCTTTGCCAGCAGCTGTACCCATTTCTCAACTGCTGAATGGCAGAGAAGAAAACGTTCATAAAAACCAGATAACAAGAGGAAATGGACACACTTATCAGCTGAAGATCTCGGTGAAACGCAAGAACCAATCTGTCATGTCTGCTTTGGAGTTCGAGTGATAACCAAACCCTTGACCACTTCACAGCCATACCCATGAAGAACTAGGAAGTCCATCACTGAACAGAAAAGGTAACTCATGAAACTTTCCATGAAAAATCTCAACTACCACCTATCTTTAGCTAACACAAAAGCTACGAAGATAATTTTAGCTTTTATAAAGTAAAATAAAAAGTCCTGAATAAATAAACTCCCACATATACTTAAGGCTTTATCTAGGACCGATGCTAGATACCACCTGGTGCAGTCTCTATGGGTCCTAAATTTTGCTACAAAGTGCCTTTCTAAGTTCTAAATTTTCACAGCGCCTAAACTTTGGATCCCAGTGCTTTCCCTAAATCATAAAAAACTTCTCATCCCTTAATTTTGCCGCTGGGTGCTTCCCCAAATTCCAAACATTTTGTCTTCCCTAAATTCTACCGTCCGGTGCCGACATAGGCTGCCACCGCTTCTGGGTTTATGGTGAATAAACATACCAGTTATTTTTAATTAAAATAGCACTAAATGTAATCTTTTGGCCTATTAGTTTCATTAACAACATCTATTTTTAGCATATGAAAAGAAATTTTTGTTGAATGTTTCCTCATCAACATTTCTTAGAGCATTTAAAAATCTATTATCACTGTCAAGCATAATGTTGGCATAAAAGGTTGCCATACTCTTGTTATTCAATTCCTAATATATAAAAAAGTTTAGACATCGCTGCACGAGTTATTACCGAAGCTGTCATGTATTGATAAACATGCGGTGATGAAAGCAAAATATAATAAATAATGGATCGCCAGGTCGGTATCAGGGATGTAAAATAGGTGAATGTTTGGGTTTGAGATGTATGCCAAGCAGATACACAGCTACGGAGCCATATTACTAATCTCACAAATTTATGATTACATGATTGTTTTCCCATAACGAGATATTTTATTTAGTGTGTAAATAAAATTAAGAATTGAAATTTTTAAATGAAAATCTCTACATGTTTTATTATGGAAGAAAAAATCAAATGTACATGCGTAAAGCATACAAAAAAAAAAAATTATTTGTGGCTTCGAGGTCCGGATTTTAGATCATTCTGGATAATGGACGTCCAGATTTCGGACTTTATACTGTATAATACAACAGTTAAAAATTTATCCAAGCATGTTTCCCATAACAGTCAAGCATACTACCTTACTTCAAGCCTTTTGCAATTGAAAAAACATAATAAATTTTGATTTTTCAACATTTAGTCAGAGAAGCATTGGACGTGACTTGAGATTTTAAAAACTGTTTGGTACGATTTGATACATTTCTTTGAAGAATTAGGAGCATCCAAAGGCTTTTCCCATATGGTAATATTTCTTTGTTTAAAGCTGTTTCAGCTTATAAAAGGTTTCACAGGAATGCTCTCTATTAAAATAGGGGAAACCTGTTTTTTTCCCTATTTCATGAATATCTGACCTATAAATTTTTTCCAACTTTGTAAAGATTTACAGAGATTGAAAAATAATATGCAACTTTTAACCCAGTATTTATTGTAAAAGGAATTTAAAATGCTTTCTACTCACCAGAGGCATGCAGTCTGGGCTGGAAAATGAAGAGTTACAATTGAGGAGAGTCCCACAGGCTACCATCAGAGGCAATGTTTGTGAAATGGGCATGTAAGATTATCTGCAATTACAAGAACTATTTAATAGGTAAATATATATTACAATGCTAATAAATCAATTTACTCATTGTTTTATGTAATATTTGACATATATCATCTCTTTATTCATCCATTACTTCAGTTCGTTACTTTAAAATGGGCATCTCAAAGTCAGTTCTTTTCAGGTTTCTCTTGCAATCACGCTAACTTTTGCTGGGGAAGAGAGTTCAGTTGCCTAATTCTGTTTCCCTACTTTATTTCCATTTAGCATACTTTGATTCCACACTAAATTCAAATTATGAACTAGAAAGCTAAATTATTCTCGCAACCAAAAATATATTTAAGACATTACCATGAAGTGATTTTTCCGGAAATAAATCCAAAATTGTGATGCCTTGATTATGAAGGAATATTTTAAAGTTAATATACAATTTATGACTTATTAGTTAATATACAAAACTATCACTGTCATGAGCACAACAGGCTTGTCCTCTCATTTGATGAATTATTTGAAATCACTCTCATGAGTAGGTCCATTTTTCCTGCACTTATTAATTCCACATTCTCTTCATTGTTGATTGTTCTCACCCAACATAAATGTCAATTTCTCAGAAGAATAACCTGCAATCTCAAGAAAGCACAATCCTTTCTCTCTCAAACACTGCAATAGCTAATATCTTTTGCATATCCTATCAGATCTATACTTAATGCAAATTTCAAACCAACAGGATGTTCTCTTCATGATATTTTGGATGGCCAGTAATAAAATACTTTTCTTTCCAAGTCCTTGTAATATATCTGATATGTACAGTCTACGAGTGATCTCTACACAGTCTGAAGATATTTATTTGGATTAATTAAATCACTCAAATTTAATGCAACAAAATTTATTCATTTTAATACTTTAAAACAAAATTTTTATAGTAATCAACCTAAATAAATGTCTGTTAAAATTACATACATATTTTACTACCTTTAAAGAAATTTTATGATCACTTTCAAGAATCAAATCTTGAGACTGCAAGTTATTCTGAGAAATTGTTTATGCTGGACAAGAACAAGCTACAGTGATGGGAATTAGTGAGTGCAGGAAAGATAGACCTACTGACGACAGCAATTTCAAAAGAGCAGGAAGGATGGACCTACTGATAGGAACGATTTCATATAATTCATCAGATGAGAGGACAGATCTGTTGTGCTTGTGGCAGTGACAGTTGCACAACAACTTCAAGAATCCTAGTGCAAGAATTAGTTTCTGTTACCCAAAAAGTAGCAGCAAACATTATTTAACATTATTTGCAAAGCAGCATAGTCTTTGCAGAGCTTCTATTTCTTTGCTAATTGCTCACTCTATGCCACAGGCATATGTGGTTGTAATCATGTGTATATGATGATAGTTCTCATAACAAATAAAGTTTCCTTTTCAATTTGAACTTTACAGGCTTTAACACTAAAACTGTAAATATACGAACTACTATTAAATTACTCTTCAATAATTCAAATGCACACAGAATGACAGGAGCACTGTCATTCTATATCATGCTGCAAAACTAATTAACATACTTCCATCTCTTTTTTAATTTACTATTATTATTTTATTTATTTATTTACAGTTTTATTTTGACGTAATGCCATCACAATTTCAAGTTGTGTGATTTTTCAGAGAATTCTACTTAATATAATATCACTTCTAGAACATTACCAAGGCCAAGCTGTTTGACGAACTACGAAAAAGCACTTGAAAGTTATACATCTAGAAATAATGACCTTAACATTACACAAAAAGAAAACCAGAAGATTTCCATGTTTCTAGTTTATTTTGTTACCTGAGTTTGGGTCACTACTACAGTAGTAAAACCTGAAATTTCAACATGAATCTGAAACATGTTTTGGCATCCCTCAGGAAATTTACAGGATTTTAATATTCTTTAGCATTTACATCTTGAACAGATTTAGTATTAGCTTTTCTTTTTATCCAGTTTTAGATCTTTTTTTTTTTTTAAAACTATGCCTAAATACAGATATATAGTCTAGTATTATAAGCATATACATGAAATGTAATAGCTTTCAGTGTTAAATCATGTTCAGATTTTTTCTATGTAAATTAATTATCAATACATATCTGTATCCCTTCTTAGATCACCAGAAATTTCAGACAGATTTTATGAAAAAAATACCCTGGAGGTGAAACTATGTATATACATGTATATATATATTATAAACTATGACAAACTTAAAACATTACACTGAACTATGAGGCATGTTAAATGTAATAAGCTATGATAAACTTCAAGAACACTCTTAAGGTGAAAGCATGATAATCTCAAAAAATAATACTGATCATGTATCATAAACTTCAAGAACACTCTTAAGGTGAAAGCATAATAATCTCAAAAAATAATACTGATCATATAGTAATATTATACCTTAAGGAAATTACTCCCTTCCAATTTCAAATTATAATAAATAATTCACATTTAAAGTTTTCATTACCATTCCAGTGTCTACAAGCTATCTCCTAATGCAGTTTCGATTGAAATGAAATGCTAAAATACATGCATATATATATTTTTTTTTACTTTAATAAATTATCTAAAACAATATATATTAGTTAAAGAAAATCATTTGCTACTGTGATTAGAATTAGATTTTTCTTTTCTCAATCAATATGATTTAAAGGTACAGGGGGTATGTTTCTGTTTTCATCTTCTCACAAAATGGTTGCAATGACATTAAAGCTCCAGATCATGAAGCTATTTTTAAGTGCATGGTATGAATGCAGGGGTTATTTTGAGACATCCTTTCCAGACAGAGCACAACGAATGCATTCTAAAAATAAAATAAGTCCTGCAACACAGCTAGTATTATCACTCAAAAGTTTAAATGGAAAAAAGAATCGCAAGCATGAAACCAAGATCACATGGAATTTGCACTACATCACATGGAATTTGCACAGAAGTCATCTTTAGCAACGAAGATGACAAAACAGTTATGACTTAAAGAATTTAATTTTTACCATTCTACCTTCAGGTTATTACAAGAAGGAAACACCAGATGATATACTAACAATATTCAATAAAACCTTAAGTAAACTTTAAAACTACACTCCCGAAAACAAACACAGTGTGGACAGTGTACTTAGTTTACTGCACTAAATATCATTAAATATAATACGACTGAGAAATACTCCATGTAAGTTACTAACGTTACTCCAAAGAATATATTAATGGGCTGAAATTTGCTTTCTGTCCACCATAATAAACATCACTATATAATATGACCAGCTTATATAGCTGATATAAGGCTTAAATATTAATTAAATTATTAATATCTCTCGATATTAGTCTACTAGAGAATAAAATGAGTTCTATAGATTTCTGTCAATTTAATCAATTTAATATGGTTATGAACAAAAAAATGCCTATTTTGAAGGAGAAATATTAAAGCCCACTGAAAGAAATTAATAAATTTTAGAATCAGAAAAAAATTATTTCTGTTAAAATGTTTAAAAAAGTGAGGAAAACAAAACGTATCATTCAATATGGATGATAAATGCTCAATACAAATTTTAATTATTATCGCATTCTTTGAAAATGGCCAATGAGTTCCAAATAATGAACTTAACTTCAGGGCATAGAATGCAGCTTAAAATACATGATTTCATTACAACAAATATTTTAAATAGTAAAAAACAAGTATTAAAACAATATTCATTAATATGTTTAGTAATGAGATTTTGAGTCATTAATTTAAAATATAAAAAGCACTTTCTTGTCTAGTAATTATTTATACCAAAAAAAAAAAAAAAACTAATGTAAAAGTTTCAGGTAACATTTATTTTACCATTTCTACTTGCATCATTGAAGCCTTTCGTTAATTTTAGATATACTATTATACTTAATTTTAGATACTATTTTCATACTCATTCTATAGAATTTTGACAGTTTGGAATTTCTTCTTATTGTTTCCCAGTGAAAGTAAAGACAGCGCATAATTTCAACTTATTCCTTCTCACATTAATATATTTATTCAATTTATACTCATTAGAAAATTTGATTTTTCTAATGACAAAGCAAGCTCTTGAAGTACTTTTCTTCATTCAGCAAGTTCTTGAAACACTTTTTTTTCCAAGAACAAAATTAATACCAATTTCAAATTTAGTATTATAATTTATCAATATAATATCTCATTCTATTTGGGGGGTTAAAAACGGAAATACATAAATTTTACTCAAATGGAAAAATAATAAAAGGGAAAACTCTGCTAATACTTTTTAATACGAAATCAATACCTTCAATACCTTTACAGTATTGGAGATTACATAGGTGGAAAGAAATAAAAAAAATTTTAGTATAATCTCATGCGAATACCATTTGTATCTCAGGCTATGTCTAGGCAATACTTCATCTAATTTCACATGTGCGAAAGCATCACTAGGTTGACCTAGTGTTAGTCTCCATAATTCAGGCACACAAATTTAAAGAGGTCAAGCCGGCTTCATGTCATTCTTTCAGGCGAAAAAAATTTAGTTTATCTTCCAATTTTGTTAAACCACAATGCTATAAATATATACATTTATAACATCGTTTGAACGGAGCCTAACAGCTCTTCTGGGCTAACACACCCCCTTTGGGCTAAAAATCAAATTACGTGCATATATCAAACCATAGCTGAAAATCTCAAAATGTGGAAATTACACATGGCAACAGCCTATCACATTTTCTTCCAAGATTGACATTTTATAAACAAAAAGACTCAAGTAAAAATGAAGCATAGAACTGACGTACCTGTTGATCTCAAATCAGAATATATCCAAGTATAGAATGACTATGCTAGAATTGACAAGCTCATCCATCTCATTAACATCGGTACCTAATTTTATTTAATAGGATAAAAGTTACCCAAATTGTAAATAAAACCTGAATTATTAAAAAAGAATATAAATTTTCTTCTATTAATTTAATTACTTCATACAATATAAAATTAAATGAATTTTATTTAATCTTATTTTAAATACATAAAT